TATTATCGGGTCAATTAAAAATAGGTTTAGGTCACGTATCCACTGTACTTGTTGCTTGAGCAGAGTAAGAAAGAGTTGTTTTATTTATTAAGCAAGCGTCCTATTTATACATTTTGATGGGGAAGGGTTCCAAACCCGGATCTGGGGTTTCAAACCCAGATCTGGGGTTTTGGACCTAGATCTGGGGTTCCACACCCGGACCCAGGGTTTCAAACCCTAACCTCGGGTTTCGAACCCATGCATGTGCTACTACTATCGCGTTTACATATTCTACTGCTTATACATATGGAAAAGAAGAACTATACGGAAAAAAATGCAGGTAAGGAAAATTTCGAAGAAATTTTCCGTAACATATTCCTCCTCTAAAGGGTGAGCTCCGTCGAACCCGCCAGCAGACTCCTGGTGTCAACCTCCCTTAACCTTCTTGCTTCCGCCAACAATTCCGTAAAGTCAGAGTCCAACATTCGCTCCAACACCGAAATGGAAATATGTTGAACCGTATACATACTATATTCCCCACGGGTACTGAACAACAAGTACGTGCGTTTGGCAATCTTCCAGACGAGGCTTCCCTTTGAACCCGGGAGTTGCTGAGCCAACCTTTTCCTTGCTTCGTCGCCCCAGCCAAACTCAAACAATAGGCTGCCAACTTTATAGTACGTTTCCAGAACATGGGCATTAAACTGGGCCCGAGGGTTCAAGTTTTCAACATCATCGCACGCCTGAATTAGTTTCTCATTCCAGGTTGCACCAGCAACTTCAACAGGTAATACGGGGCCAAACCCCACAGGGCGGTCCAGGTCTCGAAGGTACAGGTGCATATCGTCGTGGATTTGCTGGGCTTTGCTCTTCTTCGTAGTCCTTCCAAACGTCTCTCCTATTTCTTGGTCTTGGTTGCGAAGCGTTACTCGTGTCCCTTTTATCTCCAATTCTTCCTCCGGGTTCATTCGGTCGACAAGTTGCTGGATCGTTCTTCTCAATGTTTCTAGACGTTGCTCCATTTCTTTTTCCGTGGTTTCTTAGAGAGAGAGTTTTTTTTTTTTTTTTTTTTTTTTTTTTTTATTATTTATTTACTCAGTGCTTGCGTCATTTCGCTCTACGTATCTCTTTAACTGACTCCCGTGCACGTGCTCTTTCGTCACCTTTCCACGAGGGCCCATCGTTCGCAGTTTATAAGTGCCATTTCCCATTACGTCATGTATCCAATAGGGTCCCATCCATTTTTCCTTCAGCTTACCACCTAATTGCTGCCCCAGCTTAGCACGGTACCTCAAGACCTTATCTCCGATTTCGAAGCTTGGTAGCGGGTGCTGTTGATCATGGTATTGTTTTTGCCTTTCCTGCGATTTGCGTATGTTCTCTCGAGCTCGAACTCGCGCCTCAAATAGCTCGTCTATCAATTTCATTGTTCGGGCCAGAACCAAAGATTCATATCGCTCCTCATCATTCAGGTCCACAGGGTAGGTTCCTATTGTTAATTCAACCGGTAAGGTTGCTTCACGTCCGTACGTAAGGTAGAAGGGATCAAACTTTGTCGTGCCATGCTTAGCCGTTCTATATGCAAATAGCGCAGGGGCCAGGTAATCATCCCAATCTCCGTCATACTGACTTACACATTTCGCCAATGCCTCACTAATGGTTCGGTTGAACCTTTCGACTAGCCCGTTACTTTGTGGGTGGTAAGTAGACGATTGCTTATGCTTCACTTTTGCCTTATCAAAAACCAACTTCATGACCTTATTCACAAAATGTGACCCTTGGTAGGACTGAATTACACGGGGGCACCCATGTCGTGCTACTATATCCTCCAATACGAATGCAGCCACCGATTCTGCAGAACAATCGGGTAAGGCTCGTGTTTCGGGCCACTTTGTCAAGTACTCTACCGCAGTTACAAGATAGCGATTCCCTTTCCTCGTAATGGGCAAGGGCCCTACGATATCCATCCCAATTCGGTCAAACGGTTGGGTCACTTTTATTGGGTGTAGTGCTTCTCTTGCCTTAGGCTTCCCTCTCCGTTGACACACGTCACAACTTCGCACGTAGTCCTTAATATCTCTTACGAACTGGTTCCAATGGTACCTCTTCTTTATCTTCTCGATCATCTTTCCTTCACCCAAATGTCCTGCCACAGGATCATCGTGCATGGCTTGTAATATCAAGGGGACTTGGCTTCGTTGTAGGACTCTTAAAGGTTGGTTGGGCACTTGTTTGTTTTTTCGATACAATACTCCTCCTCGAACGATGTATTGACTTGCTTGCATTCTTAGTTTTCGAGCTTGCTCCTTGTCGAATTCTTCCGGTATCTCCATCTCGGTTAGGTATCGGGTCAGGTTTGTATAAATTTCAGATTCCATTTTTTTTTTTTTTTTTTTTTTTTTTTTTTTGAGCTTTTCCTTGTTGGTCGATTTGTTGTTTGAATGCCAGGACACCGTTACCTGGGCTGGATTTACGGATTTTTTTTTTTTTTTTTTTTCACCTTCTGTCTTTTTCGCCGATTTACCGACTCGAATTAACGTCCTGCCGCTGGTTGGTTCGTTCCGTATCCTTTTTCAACACTTTTTCCTTTACTTGTTGCCAGTATCGTCCTTAATGCAAAATGGTTGTTACATTGAATCCCTTAATAGCTTCGATATTGTTTTTCAGGTACGTGCCCCTATCCCCGCACGCATTCGTCGTAGCCGTCCCTTATCTACTACGTCCGTTGCATTGTTCTACCAAATAAGCGAGCTGAGTTTTTTTTTTTTTTTTTTTTTTTTTTTTTTTTGATTATCTTTTTTCGATTAATAAGTTTTGTGCCAAAGTTAAATTATACTGATTAATTTAAGTTGTCCCATATCCATTCGCTCTCTCCTCCTTTTTCCCTTTTTTTTTTTTTTTTTTTTTTTCTCCTATATCGTTTCCCTCGTTTCCTCGATTCTGGAAAGTCCGTCGACATTTCTCATTTGCTTCCCTGGTTTATACCGTACAACAAAATCGTAGCCCTGCAAGGTCATAATATATCGTGCCATCCTTCCCGTAGGGTTTACCATATTATTAAGGTAGGTCAAAGCGGTATGGTCGGTTACTATCGAGAATTGGGATCCATGCAAGTATTGATGAAATTTTTTAACAGCCCAAACGATCGCGGTACACTCCAACTCCGTTATAGTATAGTTTTTTTCAGCGGGCTTGGTGGATCGACTAGCGTATTCTATCACATGTTCGTTTTCGTCATTACCGGGTTGTGATAATACAGCGCCAAGGGCCAAATGCGACGCATCCGTATAGAGGGTGAATCCAATATCGTCACGGGGGTGGGCAAGCACAGGAGCCGAGGTAAGCCTCGTTTTCAATTCATTGAATGCTTCTTGTTGCTCGTTTTTCCATACAAAATCCTCATTCGACTTTAATAGCTTATAGAGGGGGGCGGCTATTCCGGAAAAATCCTTGATAAACCGACGGTAGAACCCAGCTAAACCCAAGAAACCTCTAAGCGAGCGGAGGTTCTTAGGCCTCGGAAAGTCACTCACGGCCATTATCTTTGATTCCGACGCGGATATGCCCTTACCCGAAATTTCATGCCCCAAAAATTCGATTCGGTCCTTTCCGAAGTAACATTTATCGGGGTTGAGTCTCAAGTTTGCTTCGCGTAACTTTCCCAAAACTACATCAACATGTTCCAAGTGCTTTTCGAAGTTCGGGGAGTAAACGTTCACATCATCTATGTAGGCCAGCACAAAGTCCCACATCGCTTGTTGCAACACACGATTCATCAATCGTTGGAAAGTGGCGGGAGCGTTCGTCAAGCCGAATGGCATTACCACGAACTCGTACAACCCGAATTTCGTCGTAAACGCTGTTTTTTCGCAATCACGGGGATGGACACCAACCTGCCAAAATCCGCTTGCAAGGTCCAAGGTAGTGTACCAGGCCGAATTCTTGAGGGCACCCAGTAATTCGTTAATTCTTGGTAACGGGTAGCTGTCACGTTTCGTCCATTGATTGAGCTTCCGAAAGTCCACACACAGCCTCATTTTTCCATTTTTTTTCTTTACTAGCACGACGGGAGACGCCCACGGGCTACACGACGGTCGAATTAATCCGGCTTCTTCCATGCGCTTGATTTCTTGGCCTATGAACTCATACTCCAACTTCAACGTGGAGTAGAACCTTTGCTTTACCGGAGGACCTTCCTCGGTGTGTATTTCATGTTGGACGACCGACGTCCTTCCTAGCTGATTGGGTTCCCGTGCAAAAACGTCCTCGTATTTACTCAGAACTTCCATCATTCGGCTTTGTTGTTCAGGGGTCATGTTTCCAAGGTTGTATTGGTCCTTCGACTTCCCTTCCTCATGCCGATAGTCCTTTCGATCCATTGCTTCGTTCCACAGACAATCCATTTCGTCGTGTCCTTTCCTTAAACATACCCTACATACAACGTCGGCCTCTTTTTGTACAGGGTAGAACTTAAAATACAAATAAGTTTGGCTTATTAAGCCTTCTT